GGTGCAACTGTTGTGCTCTTACTATAGCGAGAGGCTCTTCACTGTAGCAAAAAGGCAATAGTTAAGGGTGCATTTTGGATTACAGTCTCACTGTAACGAGATTGTCTCGCGGTAGCAAGATTCTACAAAAATTAGAGTGCAGAATTGTCTGAGATTTTTGCTGCTGTAGCAAGAAGGGGTCTCGCTGCAGCAAATAACAAGAGCATCACGACCAGAGGAGAATTTGAAGGATTTAGGGTTTGAAAACTTCATTTCCCATTCTTCTTTTTAAACTCTCTTCGATTCTCTCAACCCAAAACCCTATTTCACTGTTTAAATTCCTTCCAAAACCTTTTGGGCGCTAGATTCAAGGTTGAAATCACTAGAGTTTTGAGTTTTGTCTCTCTTCTCTGTTTTCTTGGTTCCTTTTGATTTCTCATGAAGTTTTCCATGTGTTTTAGGAGCAAAATTCGTGTGAAAAATGTATTCTACGATTAGATTGTGTTGGGTCTTCAATTTGAGATAATCATGACTTTACCCTATCTCATTATACTTAGAAATTACTTATTTGATTGTGTGTTGTAAGGCAATTAGGATAAAATATAGGAAGATGTGTATTTTGATAAGAATGGTTTGGTTGGGACTGAATCTTGATGAAAATGTGGTGTGCAATATGATGTGATTGATATTTGAGAAATGTATATAATAGTTAGTGGATGATGTGTATTTGAATACAATGTAATTGATGCGGAATAAATTGAAATGGTCAAAAGTGTGTGAAAATGGTTTGTTGATGTTGAATGTGATTATGTTTAAATATGTGGAAAGACATGAAAGGTTTAACAATACACTCAAAGTGTGGAAGATGAGAGCGGTATAAATATCTTTGAGAAGAAAGGATGGTGGTGACATCAACAATGAGCGTGGGTGCACCACAGGCCACATGCTCTCCTCCTGACTCGACTTCTACCTAACACCTTTGTTAAAGAGCCCGTGAGGCGAGAGTTATCCGACAACCATCCATGGTATGAAACTGAGTAAGTTCCTGAGGTTGAGAGCATTAGAAAACTGTGATTACATAGCCACAGCGAGCGTGAATACGTATAGTGAGCGCACGTGTGTGATTTGTTTGATGGTGCAATGAATGCACCTATGTATAAATGAGAATGGAATATTGAATTTGTTATTTTATGTTTGCCAATGAATGATTTGACTTATGTCGAGAATGTATGGAAGCATACACAGTGAGTCTTTATGTTTGTGTATGTTTGATAGTATAAAGTACTCACTCTTACATTTATTTTTCAGGTGACCAAGACAATCAACACCGAACTTAGTGAAGAGATAGATGAGATTGCTATAGGACCTAAAAATTTATTTAAAAATTTTAATGTATTTAAATTAGTCTTGTAGCATTGATTTGATATAAATTGTAATTCATCCTTATTTTAAAAGACTTTACTAAACTTATGCACTGAAAATCTATTTGAATGATTTTTTTTTATTATTCCCATTTTGTGAAATTTATTTATTTACTCCTAAAAAGTCTTCTATCTAAATAAAATGCCTATATTTTATTTTAAAATAATCTACAATTTACAAAATTTTTAGTCTAGTCCCTAAACTTTATTATTTTGCAAAAATGTTCTTTTTATAATAGTTGATTAATCTTAGCTGCGAGACATTTTTCTCAAGATTCCTAAACATTTTCTAACCTCAAAGAAATATTGTATTGTGGTCCTATCAAACATATAGTCAAAATTCATGTATTTTTTAAGTCAAATTAAAGTTAAAAAGTATACTTTCAAATTTACTTCATTCTTTCTTAAAATTTCATTTACCTGATTACCTTTAATTTAAATTTTATTTTCACTTAAAAGCTTATTTAGAAATTATCAAAAATTTACTTAAAATATTATTTAATATTAAAATAATTAAATTAAGCCCAAAATTATAAAATATATATTTTGGTCTAACAACATAATTTTTATAATTTTTGAAAAATATTAAGAACAAAAATGACATCAAAATAGTTCTATGTGCCCAAAACTGCAAACTTTCATGAAAATCTTCTTATGCACAATGAAAGGCATATGGGTGTTAAATAACAAAATTAACATTAGTACTACTATATTTACACCACACATATAGCAAACAAAGATTTTGAACTCATACCACACACTTATTAAAAACATTTATATAGTAAACAAGATTAATTATGATATAGAAAACACTAATGTTTGCAAAAATATCCTAAGTTATTGTCCAAGGCATTCTAAAGCATAGGTTAGTATGTAAACTCAATATAACATAAATATATCATATATCAAAACAAGTCCATAAAAAAAAATTCTCTCAAATTACATACCCATTTATAGTTTTAATGAAATTTCATTATAGAAATTCTTGTTTGCTTTATTTTAAATGATTTTTTTAGTTTTTTCTAACAATTTATTTTTTAAATAAAAAGATTTAAGGATTCCCCTTGACATAAAAATTCATTTAGCAAAGTATTTCTTAAGGTTATGAATCAATACTCCCCCCTTGTTTTTGTGGTGATTTTTGTGAGTTGTGTAGCTCTTCTCCCTCATCCCACATGCCTAATATCTTTCTTTTAGAATGTCCTCCACTCTCTCTTTGAGTCTCCAACTCCACGTGCTCTAAAGCTTCTTGCAAGAAGGTTGATTGTTGATTGATTCTTTGTGAGGTAGGCTTGCATAGTAATGATTTGTTGTCTTAAATGGGGTCTTTATGGTTAGTTGGTGCAAAGGTCCATATTGTGAAGTATTTGAAGAAAGTACCAGGAAAAGGAATTGTGTACAAATATCATGATCATGCACAGATGAGACATTTTCTGATGCTGATTGGGCAAGATCTATGGACAAAAAATCAGCTACCAAATACTATGTGTTTTTGAGAGGTAATTTAATTTTATAAAAAAGTAAGAATCAAAACGTTGTATCGAGATCAAGTGCGAAATAAGAATACAAGGCGATAACTCAAACTACCTGTGAGTTGATGTGGTTGAAACATATATTGAAAGAGATAGAATTTGGCAGTACTAAGCCTATGCAACTTTAGTGTGATAACTAAACAACGATATACATTGACTCAAATTCAATTTTTCATGAACAGACGAAACATATTAAGATAGATTGTCATTTAATTCAAAAAAAAGTTCAACACAAGCTTATATCCATCTCTTATATTAGGACAGACAACCAACTAGCAAATGTGTTAACAAAGGCTTTAAATGAGACACTTAGCAATTATATTTGTAACAAGCTAAACATGATTTATATCTATGCTCAAGCTTGAGGAGGAGTGTTATGAGTAGAAATAATTGACTTATTAGAATTAGGGTTTATGTTAGTATTATAATAACGGACTTGATCTATTAGGTTTGCATATATATCCTTATAAAATATAAGAATCTTTACACATTGTAGAGTATTTATCTAATTCCAGTAGATTAATCTGTCTCTCTTTTCTATAATCTCTCTCTTAATTCTACAATCTAGATCTTTGCCCCAGGAATCAAGCATCCTCATTTTATGCTTCAGTCACTGCTCTACTTTGCTTTTTCTTCCAAGATCCTTTGCAAATTGTCACAAGCTCTTCGCTGCATATTCCTTGATTCTGACAAAGAAACTAGGTAATTTTGTAGTTTACTCTAAGGATTTGTATATAGTCAGGGTGGAATTCAAAAAAGACCTGATTATCTTTGGCAAATTTAGCAACACTAAGAAGATTTTTGGTGACTGAAGGAACATGCAATATATCATCGAGTTTAAAGGCAAGGTTAGATAAAGTGAAATGCAACAATGAACTGCCAATGTGAGTTATTTCCATACCTGAATCATTCCCAACGAAGACCTGATCTTCTCCTGCATATTTTGTTCCTGCAATCAAGTTGTTTGGGTCAAAGGTGAGGTGATGAGAGGTTCTAAAATCAGGGTGCCATGACTGATCTGTCATAGTGGAAGAGGTAGCCATGATAGCTTGTGGAGGGTTTGAGTTTGTTGCCATCGAGGAGTTGTGAAAAGAGGTGGAGGGAGGAGGGGGAGGATGTAGACCAGAATTGTTAGGAGTGGGGAAGTTTTGATCAAACCTGCAATAGCATTCCCATACAATGTGGCCTATCCTCCCACATAGTTGACACTGAGGATGATTTCCTCCATTCCAATGGGATCTACCACCGCAAAACCCTCTTCCACATCCCCTTCTTGCACTGTTTTGGCCTTTACCGCAGATTTGTCCACTTTGAGCTAAGTTGGCTTGAATCGACACAAGCTCAGTTTTTCTGAATTTTTCAATCAGATCTTCTTGCACAAGAAGCAGGGATTCAAGCTCAGTGACTGACATTGTTTCAGACTTTCCCATTGCCATGGTGATAAATGCATCTTAGTCTTCACTGAACCCTTCCAAGACTGCTTCAATGTAGTCCTCTCTTGCAATCGGTGCTCCCAGTGCTGAAAGTGAATCTGCAAATTTCTTGATCTTGCCCAGATATTCAGCAGCAGAAGAGCCAAGTTTCTTGATTGATTTCATCAAAGTACTCTTCTAGATGCTCCCAGATCTAGTGTGCAAACTCACAATCTATTAGGCGATTTGTGAAGCTCATATCCATAGAGGTCACTAACCAAGCTACAAGGTACTGCTCTTGTTGCTCCCAGTTTTGGAATTCTTCACTTACATTTTCTGCTTGTTCATCTACAGCGGTGACAAATCTTGATGGCATTTTTCTTTGAAGGAGATGATCCTTGAGCTTGTTGGCTTTGATACACGCCATGATTTGCTTCTTTCATGGAATGAAATTGTCATCGTCTAATTTGAGCGAAATTAGGTTCACGAATGTCTTTAGAGTAAAGCTCGTTTGAGCTGCAGAAGGTATTGAGGTCCCCATAGATCATTGCAGCTCTGATACCATGTAAGGTACCAGAGACTTATGCAAGACGCAAAGGAAAGTTTGAACAGAGAAGAGAGAGATGAATGTAATTGCTTTTTTTTTTTACCTGAACTAAGAGAGATACAAATGTAGCTATTTAGACTACATAACAATTGATAATAGAATTACAAGTGAAACTTCCCAATTTTGGGCTGGGCTTTATCTCCTACAGGGAGGAAGAGAGAGAGGTCAGCTTGTCAATTGTGAGAGGCAAAGAGGTGAAGTTCCTCGAAGAACTGTTAAGTGTGTGTTTTATTCTGCAATGCTGGAAGTTTCTTCTTGTATTTCTTCATAAAGATATCAGTTTCTATCAACTACAGTAGTAAAGATAAAATATCAATGTATCTTGTGGAACAGAAAGCATGAGCCATCTTGATGATATTACCAATAATCGCCGCAGGAACACGATCCATCTTTAAAATGGTGGAATCTATTAATATCTCTGACAATAATTTCCCTTGAAACAATTTTACATACAAATTTGAAAAAGGTGTGGCAGTCAATACAAATTCGTAGATTCTTCTTCACCCTTATTGGGACTCCAGGTGGTGTAGCAATTAATCCGAAGGCCACAGCAAGTTTCTCACTATGGTGATATAAGAGCTGCCCCTTTTCACTTTCATTCACATTATGTATATCAATCTCTAGGATGGGATTATATCCAGCTTTACTTAGAAGGTCACCCAAGTGATCCAATTTAAGATATATTTCATCACTTCTAGAATGACTTCTATCTCCAACAATGAAGGTGTATACCTTGTCTTTCACTTCAATCCAACTCATTGCAGGCTCCTTTTTCACCTTGCTATCTTTCATAAGCTTTCTAACGTTAGCAACATTATCCCACATCCCTGCTGAGGCATAGATGTTTGCAAGGAGAACATGGGTACCAGATTTCTCTGGCTCAAGAGCAAAAAGCATCTTTGCAGCTTTCTGACCAAGTTCTATATTTTTATGGATCCTTGCAGCTCCAAGAAGTGCCCCCCAAACTGAGCCATCAGCTTCAAATGGCATTGAATTTACAAGCTCCACTGCTTCATTTAATTTCCCAGATCGTCCCAGGAGATCAATCATGCAAGCATAATGCTCTTGTGTGGGTTTAATCCCAAACAATTCCTCCATTGTTTCAAAATATTGTCTTCCCTCATTTACCAAACCAGCATGATTACATGCACAAAGAACACTAACTAAGGTAATATGGTTGGGTTGCAAACCATCTCTAAGCATTTGATTGAACAATTGAAGAGCCTCTTTACCATGGCCATGCTGAGCATATCCTCCAATGATTGCAGACCATGAGACTAGTCCTCTATTAGGCATCTCAGAAAAGGCATGATCTGCATCCTCTATGCTTCCACACTTTGCATACATGTTCACCAGAGAACTGCTGGCAAAAATATCAGACATAAGTCCAAACTTGATGGCAAGGACGTGTAATTGTTTCCCTTGCTCATAAGCAGACAAATTTGCACAAGCATTTAAAAGAGAACTGCAGACAAATGGATCTGGTTTGATATCTGCATCTTGCATTTGTAAATATAGCTTTAAAGCCTCCTCCCCATCCCCATATTGGGAATATGCGGTTATCATGGATGTGTAAGCCACCAAATCTTCCCAAGTGCGCTCTTCAAATATTTTTGAAGCTTCATCTATATGCTTACATTTTCCATATGTGTCAAGAAGACTGTTTATGACATAGAAATCCGAATAAATTCCAGATTTGATGGAAATTGTATGAATCTTCTTACAGACCTTAATTGCTTGCAAGCTGGCCACAGACTTGAGAACCATTGACAAAGTAGTTTGGTTGAAATCTACATCTTCATTGTACATTTTAGAAAAAAGTGAGACTGCTTCTGAATCATCACCAAACTGAGAATAACCAGAGATCAAAGCATTCCACACAATAATGTCCTTCTTTTGCATCAAATCAAAAGCTCTCCTTGCATCATCCATCATTTCACACTTGGAATACATATCTATTAGTCCAACAGCAGCAAACAAATCTAAATCAGTATCTATCTTTATCAAATTAGAATGTAACTGTCTACCCAAATCCTTGAATCCCATTGCAGAACAGGCCTTTAAAGCACTAGATAACGTAAACATATTGGGATGAGTTCCTGAGCTCTTCATCTCATCCAACAGCATCAAAGCCCAATCATTACACTCATGAAGAACACAACCAGCAATAATTGCATTCCAAGAAACAACATCAGGGTGCACAATTTCCTGAAAAACAGCCACTGCATCATCAATTTCCCCTGCTTTAGAATACATGTCAACCAACGCATTCGCAGAAAACTGATCCAAATCAAGCCCCAACTTTAGCAAAAGCCCATGAACCATCCTTCCAAGACCGCCATCCCTCAACCATGAGCAGGCACTCAATATGATAGAAATGCTGAACTCATTAGGCATAATTCCACTGATCACCATTTCCTTAAACAAATCCACAGCCTTGCGACACAACTCCCTTTGCACATAACAAGAGAATAAGGCATTCCACGAAACAACATTTCGCGCCGCAATGCCACCAAACAACCTCCTAGAATCGTCTAGCTGCCCACACTTGGCATACATAACAACCAAAGTGTTAGCGACAAAGCCATCAGATTCAAACCCTGTGACCACAGCCATCCCATGAACCTTCCTCCCCATGTTCAAATCCCTCTTCATTGAACATGCCTTCAGCACACTGGGAAAAGTAAACTCATTGCACTTAACACCCAACATGCACATCTCATTAAACGCCAAAAGTGACTCTTCCACAAACCCATTTTGCACATACCCAGATATCAAAGAAGACCATGAAACCAAATCTGGCTCAGAACTTTCATCAACCAATTTGCGAGCATACCCAAAACGACAACACTTGGAATACAGAGTTACCAAGTGGTTCCTGAGGCTTGGTTCGCGGGAAAATCCAAACTTGATCAAGTGGGCATGTAGTTCCATGCCTAAAGTTACGGACTTGGAAGCAACACATTGTGATAAGAGCTTGGTGTAGCATGTGGGGGGTTCTGTGAGGCTTTGTGAGCAAAGAACAACGTTGGTAATGGTTTTTGAATCTGATAAGGTGGCACGAGAAGTGGTTTGTGTAGTGGGGAGTTTGAATGGATGGTAGAGACGTTGAAGATTAGTGTGTCGGACGAAATTGATGTACCAAAACCTTGGCGACGTTTTGTTGATTGACATGCTACAAGCCTACAGCTGTTGTTAATGCACGCTGTTCCTCAAGTTAATATAAATAAGCAAGTGCTTTAGAAAAAATAAAATAAAAACAACAAAGTGTGTGTAAATTCCTAAACCTAAAAGGCCAAAAATCTAATTCGAATCACCTTAAACTAAGGGTGAGTTTTGTATAAAATTAAATTAAATTTATTTTAAATTTAATTATATAAATTAGATTTTAAATTAATTTAATTTAATTTGTTCTAAAATTAACTTTAAAATTTAAATTTAATTTAAAATCATATTTAAATCTAGTAAAATATACAATAAATATTTTTATACTATTGTTAAATTATTATATTAAAAAAATAAATTTCATAATAATTAATATAAAATTATATCTACATATATTTTAATAAATTAATTATATAATATTTTTATATTTATATTTTTTATTTTGTACTATCTATCTTCGATATAAAAATTAATTATATAGATTAGATTTTAAATTAATTTTTATTTAACTTTTATTGAAATCATTTTTAAATCTAATAGTTTATGTTAAGTTATTTTAAATCTAGTTTTACTTTAAGGTAATCTTAAATTTAGTTTTAAATTTAATTTTTAAGATAAAATTAATTTTTAATATATTTATAAATTTAATTTTTATTGTAAAACTACTTTGTTATACTGTATTTTTGTATTAAATTAGTATATTTAAAAAAAATAGTAATTTTATTAATTATATCATAAAATATATTATTTTTAAAATTTATTTTTATTAAATAGAGTTAATGATTAAAGTTTAAATTAAAATTATAAAAAATATTAATATTAAATAATGATAAAAAAATATTGTTATAATATTTTTTTAAAATTTAAAACATAAATTTAAATATAAAAATAATAGGCCAAATTACTCCTTTCATTTTGTAACTTTAAGATAAAATTTGCTTTCATCCTTTAACTTTGTTTTTATTCAATTTAGTCCTCCTAGCTTTTTTTTCTCACGTTAGTTCTTTTCGTGAGCTCCGTTAGAAAATGTAACAGAGTCATCCTATATGGCACTAATGATGTTTATTTAATCATACCTGAAAATTTGTATTTGAAAATCAATTAAAAAAATGTTATATTAGGTATCTTTTCCTTCCATACGAGTTAAGGCATATGAATTTGGGTTCTACGTCTATCAGAAATAGCAAAACAAAGACTGAAGCTTTCATAGACTCACAATCTTCGTCGACGACGTCTGCTCGCAGAAGGATTGAGTATCAATTTTGTTATTGTGGTGTGAAGAGTGTTTATTATATAACAACTACAACAACAAATATCGGAAGAGATTTTGGGGGATGTAGAAACTATGAGGTAATTTTGTAAAATTAAATAACTGAGTTTTATATTTGTGTATAAATAAGTTCAACCTATTTGTATTACTAATCTATTATATCATTTTTTTGTTTGATGAGAGTTGAAGATAATAAAATTGTTGTATTGAGGCAAAAGAGAAGAATTGTGCATCTTGTGAACTCACTCAAAATTAACAAGAAGAAGATTAAGATTTTAAGTTGTATTTTAAGTATTAGTGTGGTTATTAATGTATTAGTACTAATGTTGTTTTTCACGTTGTTTAACAGAAAACCAATATTTTTAGGGATGTAATTTTTGCAAATGCACTATGAAAGAGTACTTTGATTAAGTCATGATCTTGTTGTTGTGTTATTGCTTTTTTTTTTTTTTTATGGATTCTTTTATTTTTAATGAAATTATATTTTCAGTATCTGTATTATCTTAAAATATGAATATGAGAATAAGAAATCTTTGCCTGAGACTAAGAATAAAGATTGATTAACATATACTATTATGATATTAACAAAAGAACATGGATAAAAAGTAAAGCAAAAAGCAAAAGAACATATTGTCCCTACTCTACATTTGTTGCAAAGACTAATTAAGTATGTTGATATCATCGAGTACATATCTTCATTCTTGTTTAACCATCAATGGAAACTTGAAAAGTGCCTAAACTTTGAGTATAAGTTGTTGATGCCTCTGTTCCAGCAGGCTGTGTTGCTTTGCAAGTAGCTTTGTTATAGTCACTTATTCCATATTTGCTGCATTTAACAATCATTCCTTTCCTACTCAATTTGTTTCCCTCAACAACCTTCTCAAATTCATCTTTATTTTTTGACTTCTTTGGCCTTTCAAGTTGTTTCTTGAGTGGTAGGGGCAAAATGTCGGGGTAGTTAGTAGATTCCCACAAATTAAGTCCATTTGCTGGATATATGATAGACTTGTAAACTGCTGCATAATGTTATTTCCTATAATAAATAGGAATATAATCTAAAGGATTGATATTAACATGGTTCATAGCAGCAATTGAATGACACTAAGGTATTCCAATAAGCATCCATATTCTGCAAGAACATTCTTTTACTTTCAAGGTTCACCACAAACTTATCTCCCTTGAAATTAATATGTCAGACCTCAAGCATATGTTGTCCAAATCACCTTGCAAAAATGAAAGTAAGTGTAAGTTGTAATGCGAGATATAGTAAAAGACTAGTGCAATTGATTGTAAAATAGTTAAAGAACTAAAATGAATCAATTTGAAATAGTTAAAGGACTAAAATGATTCACTTCAAATAATTTGAGGACTGAAATAAATCTAATTTAAATCTTAGAGGACTAAAATAAACTATATTACCAAGTTAAAGTATCATAAAAGTTATACCTTGACAACCATTATCTTGATTCAGTTTGATGTTTTTGTAACCTTTTTTGTATACTTGGTAGTATGTCTAAAGTTACAATATTGGCTTTTTCCTATTAGTGATGTAAAATATTTTAGATTTACATTTATAGTTTTATTTTAATTTATAAACACTTTTAATATGCTTTTTTTCAAATTTTTTTTTTACCATTTTTTACTTATTTGAATAAATTAGGATTGTTACAAATAAATACTTTAATTTCGTATTTTTGATTATTCTGACCTCTGGCTACTTTTTCGGTCATAACTTTTTTTTATAGATATTGTTTTTGGCTTATTCTAGTTGCATTGGATTATACACATCTAGGGCTTCAAAATGCATATATGGATAAATGGATTTGGAGTTATTTTTGTTTTTTTATGATTTTTTGAAGTTCAGACAAATTTGCTAAATATTGTTGTGGGATTGTATTTGGGCCCTTTGTTATTAGATAATTGTAATTGAGCTTATAGTTATGATTAAGGCCCAAATTTTGGCCATTTAGTTTACCATAATCAAAACCTATAAATAAATTACTAAGGTTCTGAATTAGGGTGTGCGATTAGACACTTTGAGTTTTTGAGATTTGGCCGAAATTAGGGTGGGGGAGCTTGAGGTCCAATCCACACTTGCCTCGACAAACATCTTAGGCTCATGGTCATGGATGGAGCGACCCACCTAACGAGCTGCCAGACTTAACAACTCTAGATGACGCACCAGCTGGCGAGGAGGAGGAGATGATTTGCCAATTCTTGGACTTCCGTGCCATTAAGCCAAGTGATCCCTCATAGTCCAGAACCATCAAGTTTGACGGGGAGCTATTAGAGTACCCAATCCTCTTGCTTCTGGATAGTGGAGCGACTAACAACTTTGTCGTGCGCAAGCTAGTAACATCCTTGAACCTACCAGCCATAACTCTAATATTGCAATAAACTTAAATATACACATCAATCAATCATTCACACATATATAGATACATTTAGTTCATATAATTCAAACAACTCATACTTAATACACTATGAAAACAAATAATCACTTCATATTCTAGTAAAATAAGGATATACTAGCACACAACACAAATGTACTAATCCCATACCCCAGTCTGGTTTGGATGAACTACTCTGATACCAAAATTGTAACGCCTTATATTTCTCTTCCCAATATATGATAAATTTTCATAAAAATTTAAATGATAAAGTAAATTTCTTTCAAAAACTCTCTAATGAGAAAGAAATAATGAGATGATATAAGGTTCATAGAGTAAAGTTTCATTAATTTATAAGTACTTTAGAAAACAAAGATTCTAAACTTTCATCTGCAATAAAGAAAATAGTAGTTTTACAACTGTTTCAGAAGAATGCTATAGAACTGAAAATATCCATTACATAACTCAAAATAACTAAGTCTTATAGCAGTTCTCATCCATCCATGCACTGTGAGCTTGGTACTACTCGTCCTGGTTTCCTGAAAATATTGTGTAAGGGCGAGTCTTTACCCTACTACTCATATATAACACATATTTATTATAACATACATCTTATTACAATTAAAGAAAACATCATGGTATTGTATATCACAGTGTCACATAAAGCAAGTTATCATCTCAGCACATAAACACATATTATATTTCATAGATTCACAATTTCTCTTTCTTTTATTTGCGCTCACCGCGCCCTATGACCATAGTTATCTGATGCCTCTATCCTGAGGTCTTACACTTTCATGTAAATAGTCGCCGGATGCCCAATGTAATACGGATACAACACATGCAATAGATAGCCCCTTAGCAAAGGTAATGCTTAGGAGTCAAGTCAGGAAATAAGTGTGCGGTTATGTATTGCATTCATACACAATATTCTGTGCACAACCCTGAATGTCACTTACCACCCTATATTTCCCCAAGATATCCCATATTGTCTGCATCTTCCACCCCTTAGTGTATCTCTGTAACTATTTACATCATATCCATTTTCATCTCATACTCTTTTTGAGTATATTCACATGTTTACATATGCCATTTTTCATGTTCACACATATTTTTCATTATATTTCCACATTACTTTCATCATATACATCAAACCATGGCATATTCACAACATACATCAATTTTTACATCAACTACGATATATTCAAACATGAAGCATCCACCTCTTTGAACATTTCATATTACAAATTCATAATTTCATATTACTATTCACATCGACTTACTGTTCACTTTTTTTTAAAAAATAATTTCAAACTTCATATAAATCTACTACAATCACACTTAATATCACATAATTTTTTAATTA